GCATAAGGCAGATGGCATGCACAATGTTTCCTAGGGAAAAATCCGGGGCACTTGCTGTTACCACCGTATCGACAGATTTAAACACTCTTGCATTCTGGAACAACATCCCAACAACATGGGCCCTGCCCACGGGTTTGACGCTTAGGGCCAAGAAGAAAAAGGATTCACCATCACCGCTGATTTCGTTTTCGGGGTCGCTCGCGAGGTTTGACCAATTGTCGGGGTCGCTCGCAACACGCCTCGGATTCCGCCGAGGATGGTCGTGCGTGGAGTCTGCGCAATTGCTGCTCGGCCTCTGTTCGAGTCTGTTGGGTTGTTCCTGAACCTCGGTGCGCCCGGTGATACCGACAACCCTCGCACCGTGGGCTTGGCCAGTAGTGGGCTATGGAATTCCAAGGTACCACTGTGATTTGGTGATAGGGGAGGAGGAGATGAAAGGGAGAGAAATTGGTGGTAATGACGACGAAACCGAGGGATATGAAATATTGCGTGTTATAAGTGTCCGGGTAGTCAGGGCACCTCGGGTCACTAGTTATGGCACGGTGAAAATCCCTTAGGCATAATCGGCCGTTTCGTGTTAGGCAGGGGAATTCCGGATATCTTAAATTTCCCCGCCGACCGAGTTGTTCGTCGTCCCAGTACTCGTGATATTTTTGGTCCCCCAAATTCTCTTAGTCGGATATCCCGGAAGGAGATCTCGCAGCCATGTCTGTTTAGCAAGCCGCATCTCCCACATCCTTGCACGAGGTCAAGGCTGACTTACACAGGTGAGTGCGTACGTGGCGACGTCGAGATTGCGGACGTACGTACTCGTGCGCGTAAGAAGTCGTCGGTTGGTTTCGTATGCCTGTCGCATTCAACCATATGCACCAAGATCCTACCAATCACTACCTGCCTTACATGTAACGCAAAAAGGGGAGGAAGGAAGGGATGATTGACGGTTAGATGTCTAAACATCAAAAGTGGTCATTCCCAATCAGGCCTGATCACATAGCTCATGCAGGCGAATGCTGGTCAGAGACAACACAGACATCGCAAAATAGATCGACAAGATCACTAACAAAAGAGAGCCTACATTCATTCCATGCATATATACCGAGCAAAGTAACAAACAAAATCTGAGACAATGTACGAGAGAAGTTCAAAAGGGAAGGGCCGTGATAAAGAGATCGGCTATATCCGAATCCAAAAGTATACAGATGAACAGAGGAAAAACAAAAAGAATAACAAAAAGAAGCCTTATCCCACACCCACACCACTGCTCTCTCTCTCTCTCTCTCTCTGCTTCTGTTGAGGGCAGTCCGTCGCCTCGCATCAATACCCACGATGCCGGCAGTCCGTCGCCACGTATCAACGCAGAGTTGTCACCCCGCTTGGTTTAGGCATGCAAGCCAGGTACACCCGTGCGCAAGAGTCCGTCGCGGCCCCGCTTGTCAACCCCGCATACCCAACACCAGCTCGTCGGACCGCCCAACTCTCATACTCACTCACCTTCCAACTGCTCGTTAGCCAACCCTCACTGATCGCGCTAACCTTAAAATTCTTAGAGAGAAAACTAATTGCGCTTGCGAAGTTTATAGCATGCATGCGTGCGCGAAAGGTACGGGATTAAGCTAAGATGGACAAGAAGGGGAGAGAGGAAGTGCCTTCGTCCGCATGGCCGGGCCGCGGTGTGGGGGTCGTAGCCACACTCCGCGCATCGATCCGGTCATGCAGGCACTTCGGCCAATTAGAACAGAGTATGTAAGACAAGAAAGAAGGAGAAAGGAGGCGGGCAACATAGGAGAGCCAAGAAAGACGAAGGATTACAGTTCCGATCGTGCCCGCCAAAGACGACAGTTGCACAAGATTAAAGGCGCGATCCAGCCAGAACCTTGTTCCCCACAGCACAAGATGCGTGCGAACGTTGCGCGATAAAATTCTGAGCACCTAAACTCAAAATCCTAATTGCAAAAAGGAAATTCCAAAGGAAAAAACAATTCCGAGAGCCCGCGGGGGCTCGACATCACTTACAAATTCGGAAAATGAAAATTCCTGCGTGTTAATCGCACCAAAATTCCTAATGCTCACAGCAGAACAAGAAAGAAGCTATGGTACAGTTATTCCTTGTGCCCGTCATGGCGCAGCTATCCAATGATTCCAATCGTCGGCGTGGGGCTTTCCCGGCGCTGGCCCCACGAATTTCCCGCAAAGATGAAAAAGAAACGAGCGTATCCATGCAACATACCCAACCGAATTCCGCTTACCCCCCCGGTCACCAATCAAATCCCTCCCATTTTCCCACATCAGCCTCGCGCAGGAAATCGCGTGGTTGCAGAAGATAGTTCGTCACACGCTCGCTAAGGCGCGATCAACTATCAACCGTCGTGGGACCATGCCAACCTTAATTCCAAAAACAAGAAAAGCAAGGGCACCCATGCAATCCAACGGGCCATCCCGATTCAACCCCCGAAGTAGTCTTGCGCAGAAAGTCACGCGGTTGCAGAAAACAGTTTGTCAACGTACGTCTTCACGTGTCGCCCGATGTCTTTGCTACTCGGCCATCGCCATTTTGTCCTGGTAATAAGTCTGTGACTAAATGCGTTGTGTCCCTGAACTTGCATTTTGGTTTGGAAGGAGGGAGTGGGTGAGACCCATTGAGATTCGTATGGAGTCGAGATTCGCCTCGTTAAACATCAGCGTGGGTAACTGCTCGTGCTCAACCCTCTCGTCGATCCGCCACAGTGACCCTCAGACCCTTCCCGATCGCAGACGAAGATAGTGTGTACTGCGATGCAGACGTATGGAGCGCGCTGTTGCGGACTGACCGAGTTCGCTTCTAAAATCCATCTAAGGCCTGTCATGTAGGGGGGAGTGGGTTTGTTCTTATTGATCGATTCTCCTCCCCTCCCCGGACCGTGCCGTACACTGATTTGACGGTGCTGCCTAGGGCGGCGGTCCACGCCACGTGGGGCGGCCCCAGTTTAACTGTTGCTGGTGTCGGCAGGGTTTGATGCTCCGATCAGAAGACAGTCTACTCTGTCCTTTTCCTCTTGTTCCCTTTTTTTTTTTTTTAAGCTGCCTTCTCCTAATCGGGGGACAGCCATAAATTTTTCTGTCACCTCAGCCATATATTTTTCTGTCACCTCACATATCTTTTACCTGGCGTTCTGCCATGTCATGGAACATATTTTCTTTTTAGAACCTACCACTACTCCTAAGGCTATACAGGGGACCCCTGCAAGCATAGTTTTCTACCTCTCTTTGGTGAAGGGAGGTTACCTCTCTCGGTGGAGAGGGTTAACGGGATGTTTGCCCCTTTGCCCTAGCATTTCGGGTGCAGGGCTGGGGCCGCCCGTGGGGGGCCCGCTAACAGACCGAGCATTTGCCAGTAACTGTGCCTCCCTTTTTTTTTTTTCTTTTTTTTTTTTAAGACTTAATTCCATGGGAAAAGTTGTTGATGCCCCCCGCGGCAAAACCTTTGTCAAATTTCCACCCCAAAATGGACGCGCCGTGCGGGAGGTCCCCCAAAAAAACTTTTCGTCCTTCTTGCACCCCGGCTGGGCCGGTAGATCACTTTCCCACCTTTTTTGCACAGCGGGCCCTGCTGGCAGTACCGGCCCAGCCAGGCCGCAAAAACGACTCAGAGAGTATTTTCAGGGGGCCTCGCGTCGTTTCTGCAGCCTGGCTGGGCCGGTAACGCCAGCAGGGCCCGGTGTGCAAAAAAGGCGGGAAAGTGATCTGCCCAGCCGGGGTGCAAGAAGGACGAAAAGTTTTTATTGGGGACCTCCGGCACGGCGCGTCCATTTTGGGGTGGAAATTTGATAAAGGTTTTGCCGTGGGGGCATTAACAACTTTTCCCTAATTCCATTATAAAGCAAGAGGAGGCCGGAGACCTCGACCCCCATCGAGTAACAGACGAGATCTTCTTTTTTTCCCTATTTATACGTGTCATCCTTGCGCAGGGGCCATGCTAATCTTCTTCTTCTCTGTAAACCCCGTAGCGCGGGGGCCACGCTAATCTTCTCTGTATTATAGTGTTATGGGAACCCCGTAGCAGGCACATCCGTCCTCAAGCCTCCGACGAGGGAACATGCGGGAGCTGCACTTCGACCGATGTACCGGAGGTCATTTTGACCGTAGCTCGGTCTGTGCGTGTGGTCCATGCGCAGCAGCAATGCTGATCTTCTCTGTGCAGTCGGTAACGCGGTCGAAGTTGCATTACCGCACGTCCGCGGATCCAATTTCACCACACGTCCCATTAGACTCCCCCAGCACAGGGCACCAGCGCGGGGACCACAGCAAGAGAGCAAAGACATGAGTGAGCGAAGGGGGGAAAAAAAAGGAGAACAACACAGGAAATGAGCGAACCCTGACCCGCCGTCGAGAAGCGAGTGCCACATCGTTTTTACCCGCCATTTTGATTGGGCGGAACCTGTGAAACCCTGACGGGCAGAAGACGACCCTGAGACGTAGGTGATTAGCAGTCTAACTATACCTTCCCAGCAAACTCGGGAAGGAGGGAGCAACAATTGTTGTGCAAGCGGGACGTCGATGGTCCTCGCAGTGGAACGGAGGAGCAGGACGGTCTGGAATCCAGTATCCACGGACCTGGAGTCGATTACAAATCGGGAATGGGCGATACTGCACGATATACGTGATCACTAGACGCGACAGGTGATACACACAGAACTCGCTTTCCCATCTGCACTGTGTTTA